CTTCTTCTTTTACCTCACAGGGTGTCTGTTGTGGGAAGGGGAAGGGGAAGGGAAAGGAGTTTGTGAGCCACTCTGAGACTCCTTTGGGTAGTGAAGGGCGGGGTATAAATCCAATCTCTTCCCTTCTTCTTTTACCTCACAGGGTGTCTGTTGTGGGGAGGGGAATGGAAAGGAGTTTGTAAGCCGCTTTTCCGGGCCTTCACATCTCTAGCTGTAACTCTCGAAGGCTCATACCTTGGAAATCTGGTTTGTCTCTAAGGCATTTCTGGACTCGAGTCTAGTTATTCAAGGGAGGGGAGTTTCCTGTTCTTTATGAACTAAGATGCTGTGTGAATGCGAAGGAATGAGCAAAGGGAAGGGGAAGCATCTGTGGAATTGTACGGTTCCTCTCTGAAAGAACGACGACAAAATGTCTCCAGTTCTCCAGATTTGGGACATGAGGGCTAGACGGAGTACGTTCTTCAGGGGGGGAAGGTTTATTACTATTACTGGACATTCGCTGGGATGGCTAAAGGAAAAATCTCCAAATTCAGTGGCCGATGGCTGGGAGGCAGGAATAAAGAGAGGCCTGTAGGGCCCTGGTTGTGGGCCTTAAGAACATCAGAAGAGCTTTGATGGATCAGACCAGTGAGGGTCCATCCATTCCAGCATCCTGTCTCACACAGAGGCCAACCAGTTCCTCTGGACAACCAACAACAGGGCAGAGAGGCCGAGGCCTTCCCCTGATGTTGCCTCTTGGCTCTGGGATACAGAGAATTAGAACTTCTAAATGTGGAGGTTAAGAACATCAGAAGAGCCCTGCTGGATCAGACCACTGGTCCATCAGCCTCTTGTCTCACACAGTGGCCAACCAGTTCCCTTGGAGGTCCAACAACAGGGCAGAGAGGCCGAGGTCTTCATAAGAATATCAGAAGAGCCCTGCTGGATCAAACCAGTGGCCCATCTAGTCCAGCATCCTGTCTCACACCGTGGCCAACCAGTTCTTCTGGAGGGCCAACAACAGGGCACAGAGGCTGAGGCCTTCCCCTGATGTTGCCTCCTGGCTTTGGGATTCAAAAGTTTAGTGTCTTGGAATGTGGAGGTTGAGAACATAAGTCCATAAGAGCATAAGAAGAGACCTGCTAGATCAGATCAGTGGTCCATCTAGTCCAGCATCCTGTCTCACACCATGGCCAACCAGTTCTTCTGGAGGGCCAACAACAGGGCAGAGAGGCCGAGGCCTTCATAAGAACACCAGAAGAGCCCTGCTGGATCAGACCAGTGGTCCACCTAGTCCAGCCTCCTGTCCCACACTGTGGCCAGGCAGTTCCTCTGGAGGGCCAACAACAGGGCAGAGAGGCCAAGGCCTTCCCCTGATGTTGCCTCCTGGTTCTGGGATTCAGAGGCTTAGTGCCTCTCTGAACGTGGAGGTTCCCCTCAGCCACCATGGCTAGTAGCCACTGATGGACCTATCCACTTTGAATCTGTCTAATCCCCTGATAAAACTGTCTATGCCGGTCGCTGTCACTACATCCTCTAGGCAGTGAATTCCACATTTTAATCACGTTCTGTGTAAAGAAGTATTTCCTTTTGTCCGTCCTGAACCTACTGCCCGTCAGCTTCATCGGACGCCCTTGAGTTCTAGTTATTTGGGGAAAGGGAGAAAAAGTTCTTTGTCGACTCATTCCAACCCTTGCGCGATTTTATAAACCTCTATCACAGGGGTCCCCAACCTTTTCTGAGCCTGTGGGCACCTTTCGAATTCTGGGAAGGGGTATCTGAAGAAGTGAGCTGTGACTCCCGAAAGCTCCTCCCCTGCCACAAATTCTGTTAGCCTTGAAGGTGCTCCTGGACTCTTACTCTTTTCTACTGCTACAGACAGACAAACACGGCAACCCATCTTGATCTATCTCCGTAGGGGGAGGAGGTAAGCACCACCGCAAAAAATGGCTTCTACAAGAGACGGAAACAAACCAGAAATGGCTTGGTGGGAGACAGAGAGTGAGAGAATACCTCTCCGGACACCACCCGGGAAGAGGGAAGGCCTGAAGCCAGAATTTGAACAGCACACTGGCTCAGGAAAGCCTAGGTGTTCACCACTCCTTCTGATCCTCCAGCAGAAACCCTGTTCATTTGAATAAGGGCAGCCAATAACAAGCCCTGCCGTACAATGGCCCCGCCCACTTTCTGAAAAGCTCAGCGGGTGCCAAGAGAAGTACTGGCGGGTGCTACGGTGCCCCCGGGCACCCCGTTGGGAAACCGTGCCTATCATGTCCCTTCTGGGGTGCGGGGGGGGAAAGGACGCTAGACCACACAGACCCATTGACTTCGGTCCTTGAGTTTGTTCTGCAGACGCACCCTTTGCAAGACAACGTCCTCCCAAGGGGGGGGAATAAAACCATCAGTGCGAGCCCTTCTAGCATAAGGTTGGACATAACGGCCGGCCGGCGGTCGCGAAAGGACGCTAGACCACACAGACCCATTGACTTCGGTCCTTGAGTTTGTTCTGCAGACGCACCCTTTGCAAGACAACGTCCTCCCAAGGGGGGGGAATAAAACCATCAGTGCGAGCCCTTCTAGCATAAGGTTGGACATAACGGCCGGCCGGCGTTAGAGACGACAGCTGAGCACCCCTTTGCTGTCCCTGCCTCACTGTGATCTCCAGGCATAGGATGACAAAGGGAAGCCCACAGGTCACGTGATCACTGCAGACTCGGTCACAAGATACCTCTCAATTCAGGAACTCGCCGGACTAAAAGGGAAGCAAACGCATTATCCTAAAAAATTGTCTCCGATGCTTAGAGTTAGGTGCCTGTATCCCGCCACTCCCGTTTGTGAAGTTGGAAGCCTTCCTTTATCTTAAATTGGCTCAAGAACTGTGTTTACTTAGTCCTCAAGTGAACTCTGCACGTACTCAGAGGCACACATGTTCTGGGACCGAGATTCAAGTCAGGAAGGATCTCAGCGTCCAAGCTCAAAGTGTGTCGATCAGATCATTCTGCCTCTCTGTCTGGATTCTCAGCGAGGACATCGATTAGTGTCTGTTTTTTTAACCGGGGGTGGGGGGGCTGGTGGCAAAAGACCTACCAGCTTTGGTTCGTTGTTAGATTCATGGCATGAGCTGTACAGGCAGATGAAATTCAAAACACATGCCTTGAAAAAAAAACACTTCTCCCGTCGTAGCAAACCAGAGTTTGTTCTTCCATCTAAGCCCCCGAACTATGGTTTGCTACTATCGCCTCCAACCCGTGGTTTGCTATCCAGGTTTAGAAGCAAACCACAGTTTGTGATTTGGACAGAATAACAAACTATGGTTTGCCGTGAAAGTGTTTCACTTTCAAGCAGCGAGCGTGCAGGCACCGGGCTCCTTCCTTTAACATTTAAACCCTCTCTGCCAGTGTTCCCTCTGAGCTGAGTGAGTGTGAGCTAGCTCACAGTTTTTTAGCCTCCAGCTCACACCATTTTTTTCTTAGCTCAGGACGGATGGCTCCAGAACAAACTAATTTATGCCGTAGCCAAATCGCTCGCTCACAACTTTAATGCCAGTAGCTCACAAAGTACAATTATTGCTCACAACACTCCACAGCTTAGAGGGAGCATTGCCTATCTTTTGGTCTAGCCTAAATCACAGGGTTGTTGTAAGGACAAAATGGAGACCGCCCCCCTAAGTACGTTACCAAGAGCTGCTCAGAGGAAAAGTGGGAGAAACGTAATTAACAAATAAAGCCAAATGCTCAGTTGGGAAACCGAACGGCCTGGAGGTTTGTTATCAAGCTGATGCATCATTCCCTGGTGTCGTATTGTTATGAGTGCCAGGAAAATAAAGATTTACTTTGTACACATTCAGCAATAAGAAAGGGGCAATTGTTGTCTAATCACAGGACAACTTTCGCAGTGGCAACCTTTAAATTCTTCCACGTTTTCCTGTGGAACGAGGTTTATGGTGGGATGAGGGTTTGCTGCTTAGGGCTCTGGTTGCAAAAACAGTAAAGACAATAACAATTGGAAAGGGGTGCCCGGCATGTGAAAAGCCGCCACTTACGGGTGTTGATTTTCTGGAGGGAGATGTGCTTCTCCAGCTGGCGCCGCAGTTTGACTTCCGCCCCGTACTTGCCGAGGGTGCCGTTGTCGGCGAGGATAAAGTGCGTATGAGAACTGTTGAGCACAGAGAGTTTGCTTAGTGGATTTGACATGGTTTGATAAACCTTTGTCACCTGCCAAAAAGAAAAGTGCAATTTTTTTACTGGCGAACAAACGGAACGCGGAGTCAGCTAACTGTCTGTTTAAATGTACGGCTCCGTCTGAGCGGTTCCTAAGTGGGACGGGCTTCCTTGGGAGGAGGTGGTGGGCTCTCCTTCTTTGGAGGTTTTCAAACAGAGGCTGGAGGGCCATCTGACAGCAATGCTGATTCTCTGAACTTAGGCAGATCGGTGGTTGGGTGGGAGGGAGGTATTTGTGAATTCCCTGTATTGTGAAGGCGGTTGGACTAGATGACCACGGTGGTCCCTTCCAACTCTATGATTCTATGACATCTACCCTACAGGCTTCGGTTTGGTACAGATGAGATGTCAGGAAAGCAAAAAGCTCTCCCCCCCCATGGGACTCTGCACAACTTCTTATTCCCCATTTTCTCCAGGGGAGCTGATCTTGGTCGTCTGGAGATCAACCATGAGAGCAGGAGATCTCCAGGTGCCACCTGGGGATGTTGGCAACCCAACGTTTGACAGACACCATCTGTGTTGGCGCACACCTCAGCAGATGTTTGCCCACTGAAACAGTGCCGGTCTCCCGCATTCAGCAACAGTTGACCTCAGGCGATAAGTAGCACCCCAAAAAGGGAAACTTCGCAAGGAGGCCAGAACTTACGTCTCTCCCAATGAGGTCCTCCTTATTTTCCACGATGCCCCAGGGGGCAATCCCTATGGCACAGATGCGTCCTCTGGACTTGGAAGAATGATCCTTCAGAGCGTCTCCGACGTGGCGGATCACCCCTGCCGGAGGGAACAAACCCTTTGAGGGGGAAAGCCCATCTGGTTCTCCTTTAGGCAGGGGTCGTTTCGTAGAAAAAGAGCTAGGGGAACTCATTAGCATACCTCATTAGCATATGCCACACCCCCTGACATCACCGGAAGTGTGTCATAAGGCCACACCCCCTGACATCACCGGAAGTGTGGCATAAGGCCACACACCCCGCCCGCACCGGTCCTGGCCACCGCCGCCGGCCTTGCAGCTCCACTGCTGAGCCCCATGAGGGGCCTGGCGGTGAACCTGCAAGGCCGGTGGGAGTGCAAGGAAGCCCCGCAAAGGCCTTCCCTGGCCCCAGGCAGGCAGGGTGGGGAGAGGCAGGGAGGAAGCAACTTACCCTCCCTCTTCTCCTGCCTCCTCCTGGCTCAATGAGGGCCGGAAGCGGGGCTGCTGGAAGCAGGGGCGGGGCTTCGTCATGTGCCCCGCCCCCCGTACCTCACTCGGGGGAACTGCGATCCCCCGCGAT